TTTTTTTTAATGATTATGGTAAATATATGGTCTGAGAGTGAACAGTTTGTGTGGACATTTAATAGAGATAGACCGACACATTGGCCAGCTGATATTTTTGTTCAAGCCAACACATACATGTGTTGGCAAATCTGATATTCGTTGTTATATTTTGTTTTTTTGATGTGTTAATAAACATTTATTTATTCATTTTTTTATTAAGACTTGTGTAACATTTGAAATAATTTTGCCATTTTTGTTGTGTAAACAGAGGAATGTGGGGGGGGAATCAGTTCCAAAAATCAGCCGCGTATATCAGTGATGGGTTTAGGCTGCTGTCCAAATGATCAGTATGAACCTTAAAAAAACAGTTTGACTGAATGTTTTGTTTTTCTTTCTTTGTTTTGGTACAACCCATATTCAGGCCATCTACAAGATGGTTTCCTCTGTAATGAAAATGCCCGAGGATGAATCCACACCTGAGAAACGCACAGATAAAATCTTCAGGCAGATGGACACAAATCGAGATGGTAAGACTCGCCTAGCATCCTGTCGTTACAAACAAGCAGCTGAAAGTCAGAAAAAAAAAATGTATTAACAAAGCTTTGTCTGTTTCAGGTAAACTGTCCCTGGAGGAGTTTGTGGAGGGAGCGAAGAACGACCCGTCCATAGTGCGGCTGTTGCAGTGTGATCCCAGCAGTGCTGGGCAGTAGGAAACTGGACTGATACTTTAGCACATTTTTAAAATCTCTCCCATTCGACCCACCTGAGACTCTTTTGAAATGTAATACTTTGACCTATAGAGGCACATGAACACTCACTATACTGAAACAGGATATACTTACATATACATCTAATCTTTCAAACAACCCGATGCACACACTGTTCACAGGCCTCGATGTTTGGTCAAAGGTTCTGCACAAACACGAGTCTGATCCACGGTACAGATTTGACTTGAAGGACTGACATACCATCAAAGACTCACTGGGAAGAGAAAAGCTCTCCCTGTGCAGTGAGAGCAGCTGGGTAGGCGATGCACGAGGTACGCTGAAACAATCCTGGTTTGTTTTTATCCTTTTTTTTTATTTTTAAAGAGAAGAATGCTGGTTTTATCCGTGCAGCCGACATGACAAACAGATCCTTACCAAGTATTGCTTTAGCTCACTGTCAACACTGGCATAAAAAAAAAAAAGAATGAAGCATGTCAGTCTGGGACTACAGAGGAGTTATTTAAACAGACAATCTGGAGATTGTTGTTTAAATAAGGAGTTTATTTTTTTTTTTTTTATTGTACTGTATTACTTTTGAAAGAATGTTACGAAAGAACCAAAACTGACTTGGATATTTCTGAATGAAGTTGAATTGTCGTGACCACAGATTATACGCATGTGGATTCTGGAAAGACTCCCCTTACATTTGGGATGTGCATAAAATGAGCTGTGATTGCATGCATGCAACCGCAGTTCAAATGGAATGACAAAGCAGATATGAATATAAATAGTATGTTTTTATTTTATTCTGAAATTACTGCAGCGTTTTGTTGCAGCGTAAAGATTTAACTTTAAAGTTTTCAAAATACTGAAATGTGACGACAGATGTTTGGATTTCTTTTACTGACAATTGTGAGAAAACCTGTACAATCACTCGTTTGTATGCTAGACATATTTTAAGCAAAAGGAGAGGATTGCACATGTTTTGTTTTTTTCAATGCATTTGACTTTTCCTACTATTAGTTTAAAGTAACTTAATTTTCCCCATTCAGAAACAAGATGTCAGCAGATTTAAGTCTAAAGCCGTCCGCACTCTTTTCATTAAAGGAGGGTCTGCCAGGATATTTTCTGTTCAAGAAAAAAACAATTGTTCTATTTGAGTGACAATGTTCTGGTTTGTATTTTTCCTCTGAGTAACACTGTAAGAACAGCAGTTTGTTTTTTCGCTTCTAAACACAGGCTGGAAGTCGTTTGCAGGAGCAGATCTCTCTACTTCTATCAGGATTCATTATACTCCACTCTGCCCTGCTGAGCAGAGATACAGTTGTATTCACAGGTGTATAAATGTAATAGTTGGGCTAAACTATTTAAAGAAAAGAAAAAAAATGAACTGTGATTCAAACTTCTGCTCCTTTCTGTTAGACAATCAGGTACTTCCACTCCTTTATTTAATTTCAATTGCAACCTGTGGTCAAGTGCCAAATATAGAATTAAATGAAAGGAATAAAAGCACAGTATTGTATCCATTTATCCTGTACAGTTAACTGTCGAACAAAAAGTAAAAAAAAAAAACATTGTATAATTGTGTAGATTTTGTATTGTTAAACTGCATTATGTAATTCTATGTAGAATGTCCATTTTGTTCAAATAAAAGCAAAGTGGAGGAATAAAAATATTTTCATTTCCTCTTTAATTCTAAGGTATAATGTTTAGAAAAAGGAAAACAGTTAATTGATTTCTAAACTTGAAACTCATCCAATGCCGTTAAGAACTAATTTTATAATGGGAAAAAAAATCACCCAAGACCTACCTGAACCTGATGACTCATCTGTCCCTAAACCTGAAAAAAAAGGTAAGTGATATCTGCCATATTTATTTCTTTTTTTCACTTTAGAGAAATATTTATCCACTCGTTTGAATTCAGCATCATTAAGCTGTATTTTTTTCCTCTTATGCTTTCTGTCTCTGTTCTGCTAAATAAAGGCACTTTGACATAATTCATGGATAAACCAATTACATCTAAAGAAGCAAAACAGCACCATATTATTAAACTACCACCACCATGTCCCGCTGTTATACCGGCCGCGGTACTTTTACACCAGATGTCACTACTCTTACATCTTCCACAGAGTGCAGCTGTTATCTTGTCAGACCACAGTGTTTTCTAAGACGGTGTTTTCCAACCTTTTTTGACCCGTGTACCCATTTGGGCATTTTGTCTTACCAGGAGTACCCCTCTCAGTCAAAAGTATCGGTGATTGTCCAAAAGTGGAATGTACAATAACTGAAATAAAGACAAATCTCTGTGAGAAGTAGAACAGAGAGATACACAAGATCTTTTGTCCTGGCCTCAATTAGACAGTTTAATGCCTCTTGAAGGACTGAGTTTTTTATTATAATTAATATTTTTTAATGAATTTTGTGTATCCTATTTTATATGTTTTTATCTTTGCTATTGAGCAGGTAAATTTCCTATCTATCAATCTATCATTCTATCTATCTTAATCATTTAATTTGTATAATTATATGCTTTCCACCTCAAATAAAAAAAAACATCAATATGTTGCCTGGAAGTTGGTAAAAATTGAAATAAATACAAAATTAAATAATTTTATACACCTGTTTTTATAAAACTTACTCCTTGGAGTAACTCCCTTATAATCACTTTTAAACTTGATAAATTGGAAACAAAATACAGAATAAAATTATATTCAGACTGACTTAATCCGTTTTAAACATATAAGAACATTTATGTTTTGGCTGAAAAATGCTTGTTTAATTTTTCAATTGGGTCCTTACAAAGCAAAACAGAGACAAAGCCCTATTTTATTTTTCAACCTAAGAAATAAAATATTTTATTGCCTCCCTTGCAATGCACTCACGGACCACTAGGGGTACCTGTACGCCTGTGGGGCAACAGTGGCTTCGGGTTTAGGAGTTTGCCCTGAAACCGAAGGGTTGACAATTTAAACACCGGCTTCAGCTTTCACCTGCATTGCCTACTGATGGTGGTCAGAGGGCCCGGTGGCACCAGTGTATGGCAGCCTCGCCTCTGACAGTGAGCCCCAGGGCAGCTGTGGCTACAATGTAGCTTGCCACCATCAGTGAGAGTGTGTGTGTGAATGTAGTGTAAAGCGCTTTGAACTCTCCTGACGTGAAAAAGCGCAATATAAGTACAGGCTATTTACCCCGGTTGGGAAACGCTATTCTAAGGAATCTTGGGGATCATCAGGAGGCCTGTGTTCCGTTCAGTCTGTACTCGAGGCTTGTAGCGCTTTAGGTGTTCTGGATTATCATGATAAAGGTATAGTGGAGGATGTTCTTTTTCTGGGTGGATCATCCAAATAAGTGGTCCTCCTAATTGTCAGTCATTCTGGTGATATATTTACCTAAGGCCATCCTACGTCCTGTCCCCATTTTTAACTTAGCGGTGGTGAGTCTGACATAGTGGAAAAATTTACAATTTTCTTTGCAAAGTGAGCTTGTATGAGCGATGCAAACTGCAACTTTTAAATAGAGCGTGTATGAGTAGAAATGGGCTCCTGCATGCTCTTGCACACATTTAATAGGTGTTCCCTCTCGGGAGCGGGTACGGGGTTGTGCATATGCATTTTTTTTTAAGTGGAGAGGTGGGTCTTATCAAAAATTCGTGAAAATCCTCCATTATACCTTTAAGCTTTTAGGAAGGTTCCCTACTGACAAATATTTTAATCATCTGTTGGTAATGGCTCTCACTATTAGGATGTGATGGTCAGTTGAACAACATTTTAAGTTTATGGTTGGGCAGGGTTATGTTTTTAAATAGGAAAAGATTTGGATAAATCCCCCAATAAATAAAAAGCCAAAACAGAAAAAAATCTGCACTTTTTCAAAGCACTTTATCAGTAGAAATTCGTTATATTTTAATTGATTTTTCGATAAATCATAACTGTTTATTATATTATTAAACTTCTTAAGTACTTGACATATAAGGTACAGATTGGCTCCATTCACACAAATGAAATATTTTATTAGTATTTGTTTTATGCAAGGACATACTAAATAAAATGGAGTTGTAACCACATGGCTGAAAGATAAGAGCATTAAGAAAATTCATTTAGAATCATGATTTTTAGAGAAGTCTATTTGAAATTCTTGGGTCAAGTGATAATGAAATATGAAACAAAATTAATAAATAATAAAACTAACAAAAAGACAAATACGACACATTATGGCATGCAAATAAGTGGCTAGGTTATACTTGAAATCAACTAAGTAAAGCCGCGACTACATACAGCACATTATTCTTTATGTGGCTGTTTCTGATCTGTTATTTGGCAAAAAAAAAAAAAAACCCATCTGTACATGATCAATTTTTACAAAGTTTATACAGTATAAAGATTAAGTAAACTGAAGTTTGTGGGTATGGAGTCCAGCATTTCTTCTAAACATCAGTTCAACAGTGTCCTTTATTTATCATCCTGCGTAAGAAATCAGAACTGCTTCATAGAGGTAAGTATGGGTATCATGAGAGTTGGCGCCATCTTCAAAGGCAAATTCCTCCGAAGAGCGGTTTATAGTCCAGCAAATGATCGGTTTATCCAGCAGTCTCAGAGATCTGAAGACAGACTGTCAGATCTCTGTTAGGATGATCTTGTAGGCTTCTGCACAGTTCTCGATGTTGAGGACAAAAGTGTCTTCGTTGGAGTAGTGCTCGATGATGTTGTCGTCCATGTTCACCAAGATTCTGTTCCCAAAAATATAAATAAATAATTTTATTTTCAGGTAAACTGACCTTTTAAAAAAATATTTTTATTTTATTAACATAGTTTTCAATTTTGGATGCCTTTATTTCTAAATATCTGTACACTTTATTTTGAAATCTTAATGTTATTTTTAATTACAACTTTAGTTATGTTATTGCTGTTGAAACCTTTTTGTTAAAGGTAATATTTAGAATAGCCTTTAGTTAATAGGCCTTTTGGTTTGAAAGAATATATGTACTTTATAGTGACTGCCCTGTTTTTTTATTTTTAACCTTATCTTGCTGATGCATAGAGTAGCCAAGGTTACCATGCTGATTGCTTTTTTCCTTGGCATCATGTGGCCGACACATGATGTTAAACTGGCTGAATAAAACTGGTGCTGTTAAAAATCATTGATTGGGGAAGTTTTTATTACCCTAAACAACAGCACTACTTGATGCTTGATTGTGGTGATTTTCATATTTTACAATCAACTGTTTTTTTTTATTTTTATGTTGTTTTTTTTTTTGCAGCTAAGCGGTAAAACCTGCATCTATGAGGCACTATTTTAATATTATTGTGCAACTTTTAATTTTTTATATTTGTGTCAGTACTGCCCTCTTTTGGTTGAGCAGTAGCTTTTACACTTTCTAATTTGTTCAAATGATACATGCTTAGCTCATTATAGCCCCAACAGTTGTAGCAAATCTGGAAGTCAAAGTAAAAGCATGTAAATAATCGGATTTGAACGACTGACTGCCTACAGTTACAAAAATTGAGCTTGGTACAGTTGTGGAAGTCAACATAGCAAGGCTTTAATGTTAGGGGTATATGGATCAGTTTAGCTCCTTATTTAATCCCAAGGGATTAGTAGTTTTTTTTTTTTTATTACATCCTCATACTTAGTAGAAATAATACCAGACATAACATGACACATCTCCGTTTGTATTTAGACTTTCAGTACAATTCTTAGCAGGTCTAATCAACATTTAGGACCTAAATTATTCCAACCTCTGGCAGATTTTGGTTTGAAATTATTTTTAATTTAACGAAATGAGATGGGAATTGGAAAGATTAATTTTTATGTGGATACTGAAAGCAGACCTCCACACTAAAAGATGGAGGAAATGGACCTGACTATTTAGACATAATGCTCTAATTAGTCTAATCACTTAAGCTAATCAGTAAATTGTCCCATAACAGTATGTATCTATGTCTATAGCTCTTTGAGACCAACCACCGCTTACAATTTCCGACAATGTTTTGTTCTTTTCTCAAGACTAAAAACTCAACAAAATCAGAGTATTAAAAAAAAGAACAAAAGGAGGCTGGCATCTCTCAAGGCAATAAAAAAGGTTAAAGATCAAATGTATACATTTAAAAAAAATAAAAAAATGTTTACCTAAATGTTAAACAAGCTGAGATATAGAGAGCTAAGATCATTTCTATTATTATAATAATAATAATAATAATTAATTTTATTTATAATGCACTTTACATTTGACTTCCAATCTCAAAGTGCTACAAAGTGCTACATTTAAAAAAAGGGAAAATTAAAACAAGTTTAATTAAAACAAGTTTAATTAAAACAAGTTTAGTTTATTGTGATGGCCACGTTGATAAGAATTATTATTAATATCAATATAACTTATAATATAATCATTATTACTTTTATTATGATTGTAATCAATGTTACCATAATCACGATTGTCATTATTACAATCATTAGTACATTATTATTATTATTACCGTATAATACTGTCAATATCATAACCATTGTCACTATAACTATGATTATTACTATTATCAGGATGGTTCTTATTATCAACGGTAATTTTCAATGTCATTACCACTAATTTAAAACTGGAATTTTGTCAATATAAACAGTAATATAAATTTTCAACTCCACTTTCAGACTTAGACTCTCATTAATTAATTAATTAATTCAATCATTCATTTTCTCTATGCTCAGATTATTCCTTTTCTCTTTTTATATTTTTCCTTTTTTGTATCTTATTTTTTGGTGTAATATACACTTTCTGATAATAAAAATCAATAATGTCTAAATGTTACATTTAAATGTCTAAGCTTCATACCCCATTTTTATTAATGAGATAAAGTTTTCAACAGGCTATCTGCATGTCTCCACTTGTTTCATGATGATTTGTTCTGTGTAATTGAGCTCCAAGTCTTTAAGGGTGGAAGGCCTCTTTGCCAATTCCCTAATCTTGGCTCAGGCTGCAACACTTCACAGCGGTAATATTACGTCTAATCATAAGAAACATGTTAGCAAAATAAAAACATTACCTTAAACCTTAATCAATAAGAGGTGTGAATCATTTTGGACCAAACTAAAAGTCTTAGCTTACCCTTTTTTACTCTTCTTGTACACCTTGGCTATCCTCTCTGTGGGTACGCCATACTTCTCTGATATCTGTTGAGGTAAAAAAGGTAAAGATATCCATAAAACATGTGCTTTATTTGACAGATGTGGACAGAAAGAGAACACTCACAGCCTCCATCAGTCCTCTGAGGGTCGGAGACTTCAGCATCAGAGCATCAAACACTTCATCTGTCTCCTTTCTGACATACAGCAACACTGCAGAGAAGAGGTAAAAAACACCTTTAGTTCAGAAACTGAAATAGGTTCACACAACCTGAGTGATGATGTCAAAGTAAATAGAATGTTTGATCTTTTTCATAAAGTTTGAAAAATATAAAAGTTGTCTTCTCTGCACCATAAGGGAAGCATCACAAAAAACGAGCTGTTATTTTGGCTTTTTCTTGCTTAGTTATTGATTGAACTGGACTCTCTGGAACAAACAGTGCTTGCAGAGGATTCCTATTGTGTTGCTCTAAGGATCACATTTTATTCTCTTAGAGCTGTGGAGAAAAAATAGCTTTGTTCCTCTTGGGAAGATGTCGTTGTTGTAACTTTGCGGTTAAAAAAGGGGATTTTTTTTTTTTTGGTAGGAGATGTTTTTGAATAAATAATCTAATAATTTTGTATTACTTGCCAAAAGGGATTAAAACAGACTGTTTATGGCCTAACTACAGATATTAGATGTATGGAGTACAGCAAATGACTTCAACCCAATTTATAGAGACTTAAAAGGAAAAGCGCAGGCAAAAATGGCATACATACTTGGCTGATATGTTTATCAGACTTTGTTAAAGACGTAGTTTGTATCAGTATCTAGTTTTGTGACAATATACATAACCCTGGGACCTTTAGTTGGTTTTTTCATTTGCTAAGTGCTGGGCACTGGTCTTTTTTCTGTAAAAAAAAAAGGGAAAACTACTGGCAAATATAAACAAAAAAAAAGAAAGCAGATTATCTATTGCTTCAGTTTGATTGGTTAAAACAAATAACCCAGCCAAAACAACCCGTTTATAGATTAAATAAACCTCTTTTCCTTAACATCTTTCATGGCTGTAAATATGAAAAAAAACAAAAGCTGAAATGGGAGGAAGAGGGAATTTAAATATTTAATTATTTATCTTTCCCCACTTAAAATTCCTCCTCTAGACTTTATATCCTTACCTGGAGAAGACATATAAAACTCAACAGTTTTCCTGCACGCTGCAGGAACCCTGTTAGAACGAAGCATGAGGAGAGATTCTGGTACCTCTTTTGTGCGTCTCCTCCCGGATCTGTTTGTGCGGTGACGGGCAAAGGTCTTCATCAGATGACCTGTACATCCTCTTCACCAACACAGTGCTTAAAAGAAAACCCAAAGGCGCGACTGTGAGGACCATTTGCTCTGGTTGCTATGAGACTTGCTATGAATTGTTAATCATTTTTATGACCTGATATGAACAAATCATTTCCTGTTGATGCACACTCACCCTTCTTTGTCGATATCTTCTGTGTTGAAGGTAAACACCTAAACACAAGATACAGAATAAATCAGAGATGAGCTGAAAGTTTCAGGTCAGATATATAACAGCACATTTATGTTAAATGCAGCTGTTATGTATCTGTTTGTCTTAAATCATCCCTGTTTTGTTTACATTTTGTAAGAATTTGCTGTAAGCTTGTCAAAGGCACCAAAATATATATAAAAAAATGATTGAATACTTTCCATAGAAATGATTACATTTTGCTGCCAAATAGCCAGAATATGTTATGTAAAGACATTTAAGTGGGCTTCACATTTCCCCCCGAGAACTGGATTTTTTAAACTTTACTGCTTTCAAAAAAACATTCATCAGTTTTATTAAATGTTTTACCAGGTTATCTTAAATTTTCATTCATAGCATTTAGATTTTATGTGATAGATCAATGATTTTTTTTAGATTATGCCTCTTACAGTGGACATGCACCTACAATGACAATTTCAGACCCCTCCATGATTTTTAAGAGGGAGAACTTGCATTATAGCAGGGTGTTTGAATACTTATTTTCCTCACTTTATGTCTTAAAGCTGTAAGGTATTACGTTATGTTTTTTGGTCCACAAATGATGGAACGACACAATAGTTTAGTTAGCTTCTGATTTAGGGGTAATAAGCCTTTTTACAGTCCTTTTTCTGTCATCAGGACTGACTTCTCAAACCAGTCTTTCAAACTTTAAAGTCAATTTTTTTTTACAATAAATTTAAATTCTACTATTTGTATTGTTTTGAAAAGTTAGATGGCATTAATCCTATATATGTTTTTGAATCCCAAAATATGAGAACAAAAAAAAGGGAAATCAGTGTCAGTTGTCATTGTAAACCAAACAAACGAGACACAGATGACTAAAATGTTGAAATCAAAGTCTGAGGATCAAGGATGTCAGCCATAAAAAAAAAAGTGGTTATGATGCCAACGTTGTAATGAAAGGATTCAGCACCAATAGAAACAGTTGGTTAAAGTTACGCAAGTTGGAGCTCTGGTGTTGCCAGGTCCTAGTAAGAAGAGCTGAGAAATGATTTCTTCTGTGTTCTATTTCTCAGATTCAAAATGAAGCAAACAAAAAAGAAGCAAAACAAGAGTGAACATGCGTCAAGCTTTTAGGAGCGGACTTATGGAAGAGGCTTAGAGGCCATACAGAGTTTGCTGCTTTCCTTCATGATAAGTTTTTATTAGTGGACCATGCAACCAGCTAGTGAACAGTACAGAATGAGAGTGTTGTAGGGGTAGTGTGCCCCCTATTGGCCGGGAGGAGTTAAAAATCATCAATCAATCCCCCCCCCGTTTTTTAGAAAATGGAGGGAGGAATACAGCAAACCAAGGAAACCAAACAAATGTTGTTGTTTTTTTTAATCAGACTTCCAGATGGTATTGTAGGAGTTTTAACAGCAGAGAGAGACTCTTGCAATTTGAAGTTTTGAGAGATAATTTTTGGAAAGATACCAGCATGTTTTAGCTTGGGGCTTTCCCCATTCCTCTCAGTGCTTCTAGAAGGTAGTTTAAATTTGTTTTTCCAAATATTTAAAAAGATTAAACGAGTACAAATCAGAAAAATGTGGCAGGCTATGGTATCCAGTACAAGTTAGAAACACGTTGTATCCAAACAAGTGTGCACATCACCACTGCAGATGGGCATGTGGGTTACAGGGGTGGGGGGCTATAATTTCTTTGTTTAGAAAAAGATGATTTTCAAGCATCTTGAAATGTTCCTACCCAGCTTCAAAAGTTATTGTTTTCTTCTAAAACAACAGATTTATTTGGACGAACAAGCTAAATGCAAAAAAACCCTCTATGCTGGTACTCCTCGTCTGTGTGTGGATGGGGGCCTTAGTTGGACAGAATTTTATTTAAGCATTACATATTTTTATTTGAAAGCAGTTTTGAAAAATTTGTTTCTCTTACTTTACTGTTTGCCATTACTTAGTGGGGTTCTGTCTTTTGGTTATAACATGAAAAAATATGTAGAAGTTAGAAAGAAATCTGAAAAGCATAGTAAAAACCTGAACCAGAAAAGCTTAAACATTTTTAAAATATCATTAGATTAAAGCCCAAACTTATATTTTTAGTCAGGTTATTGGTTAAAAGGTTCTGATTGACAGGACGCCTACCTGTCCAGCTCTCTGCAGGTTACCAAAGTGAACATCAGGGATGAAAAGTACTGGTTGGGCCTCCAAGTCAGTTATGGTCTTAAAGAAGGTGACTTCAGACTTTTTAGGAATGTTTATTACACCGACGCCACCGTCTTTCCCTGAACAAAGGAACGATTCATTTAGCTTTCTTTATTTACTATTAAAACCACAAAAAAACAAACATATTTATTGCTGTAAATAAAAAAATATTCTCCAATAGACTTTAAAAAATAAACAAAATAACAGTTACTTTTGATTTATCTTTTGTTTGACTTCCCTATTGTAAATATCTCAAACCTTTGGATTTCTTGCGCAGTAATTTTCTTTCTTCATCCCGGATTTTTCTCTCAGCTCCCTGGAGGAAAAAAATAAAATCAGATCATTTAAACATCCTAGCCAAAAAAAAAAATGGGTAAAATTTAAAGGCAAAGAGTGTGTGGCATGTTGATAAAGCTCAAATTTGCTTTGGCCACTAGAGGGGGGGCTGGTGTAAGGATTCAGCTTCTTTTCCTGCAGCTAAATCTGAAAATGTTTGTCTCTAATCTAGCCTGAAAAAACAAGCAAATTGATTATATTCGGAGCCCTAAAACACAGACAAACTCTAAACTTAACTGATCAGGACAACCTTCGTTTTAGTTCACAGCATAAAATGAATGAACCACTTTATCCTTTTTTATCACCATGAATATATGACCTAACAGGAGACATGGACATAAGAACTGAGAAATGCAACCCTCCTCATCTGAAGGCAAAGTTTCATAATAACACCTGACATCTAAGTGGGTCACAAAGAATTTCTATGGGGAATTTAACCCTTCCTGAAATCAGGCCTGAAAGGAAGAAATCCGCCTCCTGATAGTCAAAGCCTGAGGTAAATTAATGCAAAACCTGCATAACAGATGTTGCTTTGAAACTGTGAAAAAATATTTGCACAGTGAATACATATAGACTGTTTACATTGATTAAAAGTTTTTCATTTTTCACCATGAGGGTCCATGAAAAACAAATGGACATCAGCCCTGTGTGCACATCTGCACCACATTACCTCCTTACTTCTTCTTCTTGCATCTGCAAAATGTGTAAAAAGAAATCTGAACGAAATTCTTTTTTTAGATGATTAGAGTAATGAGGGACCCTAAATTAATAATCCATGATAGTCTGTAAACCTGGGAAAGAAATATTACACCACACCAGGGCTGTCTTGTCATGGTCACAGCATTAAAATAAAGTAATTATGTTTTGTTATCTATATATTTAAGAATAACCTACAAACAGCATAAACATAAACAGCTGGAAGTGTATACCCAAATTGATACATTAAACCTGATGCTTAGAATATCAAAAAATAAAATTATTCAGAGCGATTATGCCGCCACCATGAAATCTGAAGGCATCTGATGGCTTTCTACTCATTTTACAATGAAAACCAATAAATTTGGTACTGTGTGTTTACAGCGTTGTTCCAGCGAAGCGTTGTGATTGGTCACCTTGTCACAGAAGACCTTGATCTGTGAGTACGCCCTATGGAGCGGCTTGTTGCTACGGTTGTTGTAGCTGTACGTGTCAATCTGGATCATCAGAGGAAGGCCCTTCACCCCCTTCTGAGATGAGAAGTCTGTGCTTAGACAGTTAACGGTGATGAAGATCTGAAGAGAGAAGAGGAAGATGAGATGATCCAGTGCTTTCAGATTAAACACTCATAGAAAACCGACTTTAAATGAGGATAAATCAGAAACATTCACGATTTAAACCGTGATCAGTTCTAGTCTGACTGTTGAGTGTCTCATCTTTATTCCCCAGAGCTTTACAAAGAATCCTATCAACTCATCTAGGTTTTGCTTCTCAGGAATCTTATCAGATAAAAATCAAAACATGATAACTGCAAATGTTGTGGCCCCTGTGTAGTACTTCATGTCGTCAAGTACTGAACCTCTCTTCCCTTCAGCCTCATCATCCAAGCCAATCTTTGGATTTTGCTCTAATATGAGATAAACCTCAAGCTGATGGATCAGTTTTTAGATTCATAGCCTTTTAAGTTATAGCAACAAAAAGTGTTTTTACCCTTTTTTTTTTTTAACTAAAAAATTGCAATCATTTCTTTAAAGTACAGGACCTTGCCGAAGTAGTCACACCTTTGGAATGGTTTTACAATTTTGTCAAGAGGAAGAAAATTACCTTATGCATTTGAAGTTTTCAGATTCTCTTTTGAATTTATGAGTGAACTTTGACTATTGATTAAAATATTAAAGTAAATATGCAATTGAACTATGAAAAGCACAATAAATAAGTCTATGTACCATTCAAAGAATGGTAGAAAGTGGGATGTCGCTATAATTTTAGGAGTCAAAGGCTGAAAACTCGGGAAGCCTCGATCTGAACTGTTCGCTTAACCTCTGGCCATATGTTTAAGGAGGTTATTCCACAGAATCTAAAGTTTTTTTTTAAAGCCTCTACTTATCTGCATAGCATGATGCTGCCACCACTACCTTTCAAAATAGGCATGGTGGTGGATTCTCCAACCTGAGCTGTGGGTCTCAGCAGCTCCTCCAGAGCTACCAGTGGCCCATTGGGTCTTTCAGTTCAGGTGGAGAAGCAGCAGCCCTTCACATTTGTCATAACCCTTCCACTTGTGTGACGTAAAACATTTCTGGAAAACAATGTTTCCTTTTCTTTAGACTTCACTATTATGTGTTTTTTTCCGGTGTTGTGAGAACACCATAAGCTGTCAGATAGGCTTATGCTTAGTTTCTATATTACCAAAATTAATTCTGAGTCACAATATAAAGCACAGCCAATGTTTTCTAAGGTTTTAAACATGAAAACTACTAAACTACTAAAGTAACTTATATTCAATTAATAGTGACTAATTTGGTTTTAGCTTTAGATGCTCCTTCTCTCAGCATCCTGGAAACTTCAATCATGTCTGGACATTTTTTACATCCAAGAAACAACAGTATAAGCAAAGCTGATTTATTTTTTTTAAGTTAAAATAAACATGTTTTTGCTGGTCACTACACTGCTGCAAAAATTCAATGGGAATAATTCTTTGTATGCAATGTATGCTGATCTGACAGCGTATCCAGCCTATCCCCAATTCCAGAAAAAACACATCATTGTCTGTTGTTTTGATGTAAATAAATAAGCCAAAGTACCAAGGGTATACGTACCACTACAAGGCTCTGTTACTTCATCAACAAGTACCAACAGCAATTTGTTTGGGGTAAAAATCACCAATACGTGCATTGAGGAATTCATTAAGATGACATTTCGCTTTGACTAAAAATACTATGATGAGTTCATGCTTTGAATTGTTGAATGCTACACAACGTTTGAGGGAGTTTTTCTGTCCACAGTCTTTGCATGCTTGCTCAGCGTGAGGGTTTGTTGAAAAGATAATAATTCAATGATTTAACTGTCCACTTTAGGTACATGCTTGTTCAGAAGAAATTGCTTCAAGTGAATCCTTTGATGCAATCAGGGTTTCTTCAGACAGACAACTTTTAAAAAGTTGGACTAATCAGGTAGACTTGACTGCAGCATCTTATAACCAGGATTAAATTAATATTAAAGCTGATTTAATATTTGTCTGTATGACTGGATTGTTATATATATATATGTTTAGTGAGAAAAGGTAAGTCAGTAAGGGATCTTTGCTTTGATTTTTTTTCCCAAGCCTCTTTTGTCTACCTGCTTTTGCAATAAAAAGGTCTCTTGACACACAACATGCAAACAAACCAAACGCACACACCGAATCGCTCAGAAATGAGGGCAAAACAAACAAGAGAGGGTGGGGACAGGCACTGGTGTGTGTTGGCTCTCGGGGGCACTCTGAAGTTTAAACACTGACGGGGCTGCATTTAAGGAGTGGTCACAAAGGAGTGGGCTTCACAGACACAAAGAGAACAAACAGAGCAAAAGTACGCGGCTCTGCCCATCGGTTTTATGACACACAGCTGAAAACATGCCCGCTAAAGGGAAGATACTGCTTTCCAGTCGAAATCTTGACTGATTGCAGCATCATGGGATTTAATTTGAAATATTACAGTAAGCTTGTAAGTGTTTGTGGTGTCTAAGGGTCAGACGGTTGCATCATTTAAATAAAAAAACGGTTAATATGTGAAATGAGAGCATTTGTTTGCCAACATCTGAATCAGCACAATAAAAAAAAAAACCTGTTTAGCTGCTTTTTCCTATCCACAACACACCTCCAGTGAGAGTAAATAGAGTACACTGGTTTCTGGGAAAATCACTATGACATTTAATTCCTGCGTGCAAAACAAAAAAAAAAAAAAAAAAAACTGTAACGTTAGTCGACTGTACCTTGGCCTCTTCGTTCACGTCCCAGGTGAAGGAAATGGCATTGTAGGCGATTTCTTCGATATTCCCGATTGTGTTGAAGCTCTCTTTGTAATCAGCTGTTAAAAAGAAAAAAAAATACATTTTTTTTTTTCTACATGTTAATTCTACACTCAAACATTAAAATAGTCTTAGGTCTCACTTAAAAAAAAACAAAAATTGGTCAATAAAAGCAAAATCTGGTAGCATTTGTTAAGATAAGCAATCACCTGGCACACTTCAGTTTTAGATCATAAAGCCTTATCTGTAAGAGTAAACAGACCGTGGCTTCAAAGGGCCTAAGAGGAAGCAAACAAAGGCCAGTAAATTGGCAGGGGGGTGGGCTAATATAAAAGGGCCAATTTTAAGGTGAACTCTGACACAAGCATTCAAGGTAAAAATTGGGATCATGATAGGAATGTTCTTTGGCCAAGCACCAATCTTAACATTCAGAAGGAAAAAAATAAACCACTAAATAAATAAGAATCTATATAAAATACAAATTATTTTGTTGTTTTTTTCCTTATTAGAAGCCTTATAGAAAACTCAATCTATCTATAAGACAATTAAAGACATAAAGGCCTCTATACTCACTATGTCTTTGCTATAGCTCACTGTGGCTGTGTACAAAGGCTGCACCAGTTCACTTATTATTATGTTGGCTTATTATATTTTATTTATGTTTTATACTTATTTATTTCCCCTCTGTTTTTAATATACCTCAAAGTTTTGTATATCTACCATGATAAAATCACAGGACCAGAGGTATGAAATAAGCATGTCTGCAATGAGTGAAGAAGGAAGTAAAAAAAGCAAAGTATCTCCCAATGGAGGTGTAAAAAAATAATGGAAAAATCCTGGATCAAGTGTGTAAAGGAAGCAAAAAAAAAGTTAAGAAGCCTAGAGAGATAAGACCATACCAGCGCTCAGAATACAAATAAAAATGTTGGTGTTCACTGAGGAACGGAGCTAAAGCTGCTAAAGCTGACATCCAAAAAGATGCGTTACATACAACATTTACATCTGCTGAATTAAATAAGCACTATCAGAACAAACGTTTGCCGAATATTGATTTATTATAACATGAACATATGGTTTTTGGTGCTATTTTTATAGACTTAGAATGTGACTGATTCCCTTTAAAGGGCTCATAGAATGCAAAACCGAGTTTACATTGTCATAGATGAATAACGTACAGAGAAGTTCAAACCCCATTGACACTTTCTTTCTCTGCAAATCTCACAATTCTAAATTTCCACCATAAAACGGGCCGAATCTAAACGAAGCACCGAATTGATCTAAGCTCTGACATACAGTCTAGCCCACTGGTTTACGGCCCACAAACATATATAGAGGTAAATGTAAGACACCAGTATAGCTGTTTACCTTACAGTTGGGTTTACTTCTACAAGAATTACAAAGTAGGCAGTTTCTCTATTGAAAATGAGCCAGAAACACGGGCGTAAATGCAGCGTTCCAGGCTGCACGGAGAAAGGGGACATTTTTCACAGACTTCCCAAGGATCCGAAGACTGGACAGGCATGGATTATTTTTGTTTATCAGAAGATCCCTGCAAAGTTTGATGCTCAGCTGTTTATTTGCTCTAAGCGTTTTACCAAAGACAGCTTTCAAAATCTTGAACAGTTCAAAACAGGATTTGCTAAACTTCTTTTACTGGAATGAGGGGCTGTTCTGGCCATCACAACAGCAAGTTGCTGGGCCACTGACTGGACTAGACCTGACCGAACCTGACCTGGTGACGGTATGCTTCCCCCGGCTTGCCTTACCGTGCTTCCCCCCGCCTACCCGGTGGAAGCACGGTAAGGCATGGTTACGACAGATGGCCACCATTGTCCAGGCTACCATCACCGGGTCGGGTTCAGTCGCTCTGTCCCCCCCGCCCCGGCTCCTTGTTTCAACTACGTGCTACACCGTAGTCGACCAAAACGATTTTGAAATTACCCCCAGATATTTTTTTAGATATGAAAAGTAGGACATGTATGGAAAAAAGAGGACATCTGGTCACCCTACCATATCAACAATTTTGACCTTTCAGTGAGTGAGTGATTGTTGCGATAATGCATCTTTGCTCAGCAGCTTCGCTCGTTGTAAACCAACCAATCAGCGCATAGCTCATCTAAATATTCATGAGAATACCATAAAAGGAAGAAAACCTGTCGTTTCATTCTGAGGCTTATAACCAGGCTTTCATTACGGCTCCTAGAGCACCAAATCTGCCATTTTCAGCTCAACCAATGTTACACACCCTATTCAGATACCTTGAGGACCAGAATCAAAAACCCTATAGAATCATTCTATGACCCATTTACGTTCTAGTAAAGCTAGCTAGCTAGCTTATCCTGAGCCTATGATAAAATGTAACTCTGGAAAAGTAAGACAGTATCTTATGTAGAGCTGAAAGTATTATTATAAGTAAGGTAGCAAAATTGTTCATTCTCCAAATGTCCATTATCCTAACCACCATCACATCAACATTTCCTGGTCTCTGAGCAGGTGCACAAAGCAGCAGGGCAGGCTGCAACATGCTTTTCTAGAACCCCCCCTCCAGTAAATAACATCATTCAAATGAGCCGTTCTCTAAAAAAGCCCAGAGGGAAGATACACTCTGTCCAAGCTCTTCAAAAACTCTGCTCCTATTCATACCAGGACTTCATTTTACCGCCTGCTAGGTCTCATTTTTTACAGTGCTTTCAGACACAGCTGGTCGCTTAGCAAAAAATGTTTGTAAAACCTAGCGTGAAACTATGTGCAGATATGTTCCTGCAGGCGCATCTGTTGATACAATGGAAAACTATTTAAGCCCTCTGGGTTGAACTGTTGATGTGCCCAATTTTCTTCCTGTATTTTACACATGAACATGAAACAGAGTAATTACACTTGCAAACATAAAGAACGCCAAAGGGATTTGTTATAAAGAAAGAGATTACACTTCCTCATAGCAGTCACTCTGATGAATATGTGGATGTAACTCAGAAAGCTGCTAAGGTGCAGCTTACATGCTGTAATTGAACAATGCCATTAAAGCTGAAAGCCCATCTGCTGAGTCTGTCCATGAATCATTTTAAAATACAACTAATTTCCCTTTACTGCTCAAAAATGGTCGTAACCAAATCTGAGTCAGTAACGTTTTAGTCCTCTAAAGATCACACAGGGAGAATATAGGGCTACAACTAAGGATTATTGTTAATCAATAACACTCACATTTTTTTTTTCATTTAATTAGATAATAATTTGATAGAAAATGGTGCTTTATATGAAATTTGCTACATAATTTGGAATCTGATGAGAATGTAAAACTATGCCACAAAAGCATATAATAATATAATATAAATTATAAATAGAGCTGATTTACTGACAAATTATTTGTTTTTATCTTAGATGCACACTTTTTATTTACTTTCTGCAGCTTTGACCTATTTACTCTTCCGATTTGGTTGTTATTTTAGCAAATGGCTGGTTTCAGTCTGTAAACTGCATTTAACAGTTATTCGATTACTGTCAGTTGAAAATCATGTCTATAATCAATTAAACACAACTTATCTGATTTGTTTAGCTCCATTTGAGCTAGCATTCAGCTCTTCGGCATCTTTATTTTTCAAAATATATTTTGATAACTACAAAATATACTTTGATGATTGTGTTTTTGTTATTTTGTTATTTTTTGAATGTCCAAGTTTGCAAGCATTATTTTGTCCTTACATTGTACAATCACAGAAAATCGGCCGAGATTTAGACATTTGACTAGAACTCTTCCTGTTCATCCAACCATCAACTTCTTGCTTTTCTCACATTGTGTGCCTTTCATCATCTTTACAGCCATTTTCATTCATTCAGAATGAGACTCCAATTCAATAAAGAAGCGTGATGCATGACCCAGAAGTGATTAAAAGTTGTGTATCAGACCAAAAAACTTAATTTACTGTTGGATTTGAATGGCCGTCTCTCCTTATGGATTTCTTCTTCTCTTATAGTACCAAATTTAGATTCTTAAAATAATCTTAAATTTCTACATATTCTTCCAAACTTTACCAAAGGGAATCTATCAGATTGTGTGTTTTTTTTTTTTTTTTGCATGAATACTATGTAACTGGCAAATAATAGCTTTCAGATAACCTGTGTAAGTTCCGTATTGACTTTTAATGTTTCCTACAACTCCACTTAGATAAAGATCAAACAATCAATATTTTGTGAGCAATTCTATAAACTCTAACATGCCTACAGTTTAGCATCTTGCGACAGTAAAGTCAGCTAATCACCAAAAACAATCAAGAAATTTGGCAATTCATGGCGTAACTCATAGCTGTAGACATCCCTATCTATATCCATTATTTTACTCTTCTGTAAAAGGGCTTTGAATGTTCCAGAAGACATAAAGATGCGTGTGAATTGAAGACTGATTGTGACTCATCTTGGTTGGTGTAAACATAAGAATTAAGATGAAAATCTACACTTAGGAAAAAAAAAAACTTTCAACAGACCAAGACCAGTTGAGGTAACAGTGTGGCTAGCATTCCTCTCCCTGTCCCAACAAGCTGCATAGAGGTGTGTATGCCTGTTTGTGTGCATCTAGACCCAAAGGCTCTCACATACTTCTGAATCTTTGCTTGCATAGCAGGCCCCAGCTTGTTGAACAAACTGCCTCGGAGCCTGTCACATGCACCCAACAAGGCATAGAAAGACGGTTAAAATTCAAATGCACCTAAAGAGCTCAAAGGGAAAGCAAATGTCACAGTGTGGGGACTGAGAGCCATTCGGATCGGTACGTGTACACCTGTGGGAAAGGCTGAGAAAAAGAAAGTCTGGCTTGTCACTTTTGGAATAGATGAGCTTTGAGATCAATCAGCCAGGAAATGTTGGAGAGATTAAAGGATTTATGTTAGAGGTGTCCCTGCAACACCTTCATATTAAAACAGTCTCAGGTGTGTGTGTGTGTGTGTGTGCGTGTGCCCCTCTGTGCAGGTAAGCCAGATCTGCTGTCAGATAGTTGCTGAGCAAAGACAAGTAATCATGACCAAATTAACGTGTCACATCGCCACTCTGTGCTTTTAGAATCAGCACAGGACGATGATGGAGTGAGCTAATGCGGTGTCTCCCCAATCCTATATGTTGCTGCACACTGCCAGTCAGCTGGCTGACAGTATGTTTCATCACTCCTCCCATTCTTATATCAGAGATGTTTTGGCTGTTTAGACTTTGTATTGTTGTGTTGCTCTATAATAGAGAGTTCAAATCAAACGTGAAACCAGTGAAAAACTTTAGGATGCGTCAGTTTCCGTTTTTGATGTTTCTGCTGCTAAAAATCACCTGATGCACGACAGCATTGCACAGGAGCTACGGCTGAAGCTACCTAAATTGGATGTATCATCTTTAGAAACGTAAGAATAGGTGTTCTGTTTCTCCTCCAGATTAAAGCAATTAAATGCATGTAGTTTATTTTTATACTGTGAGTCATATTTCTACTGAGAGTTATACCATGAGACCCTCATTGTGGCCTTTACCTATCCCAGGGTATCACCGAGTCGTGTGACAATTCAACAAATCAACGAAAGGAAGCAGGAGGAAGTCTTACCAATGTCCAGAACTCGCTGTTTGGCTGTGTGCTGCCGTGAGTGCCAGTACTTCCAGTATTTAAGCTGCTCGTCCCGGTTCTTGTCCTCACTAAACACCACCATGATAACGCTCTGAGAAAGACAGGAAAACATCTGGAGGGATGAGAACTTGGAGATAATGGCAGGATTTGGTTGTTACTCATGACATTACAACATCTTGGTGCATCACTGGAGCTTTATGAGTCAGGCTTAATGACAAGTAAAAAGGCTTGTTGGAATAAAACATTGTTTAGCTACATGAGTATAATAAAACCCAGTTAAATGTGCTGTTCACACATGACGGTTTATTTGAACCTGCTCCAAAATGTTAATGAAAGGTTACAACCTTACTCTAATGTCAAATTGTCATTCAAAAGACTTCCAAACTATGTATTACCGATCAAATGATTGACTGATAATTAGACAGGTGTCATATTATAGTTTATTTACATCACTAGAGGCTACTCAATAACTCAAAAAGATGATTAATTTTAGTCTTTTATCTCAGAATTCGGACTTAATCTTAAATCTTAGAATTATTGTCATAGAATTATAACTACTTGTAATATTCCTACTTTATGGAAGTAATAGCCCTGGGCTTTGGCTATACAGAACTAAGTAAGTGAACTTTTAATAAGATTATGTTCTGAGAATAAAGTCAGAATTTCAATATTGAATTGAGGATCCTAAAATTTAAATCAGAATAAAGTCTTGATTCTTAGAGTAAAGACAGAATTCTGAGATTAAAGTCAAAATTCTGAGATAAGAAGTAGAATTTTGATATTAAATTTAGAATCCTAATATTTAAATAAGAATAACGTCTTAATTCTTTGATTAAAGTCAGAATTCTGAGATTAAATTAATAAATATTAAACATTTCCCCAGAGTGGGGAGATCTGGGCTTAAAAGTGGCAACAAAGATACAGTACAGTGCTATAAAAAAGACAGTTAAACTGTACATCAAAAGATAAAAACACACCTCAGAAAGAAAAAAAAACTGTGGAGGTAATAATACAATAACATAATCAGATTTAAAAGAGACAATCAGGGGCTGGTTTGAAGAAAGATGGAAGAACTAAGTGAATAAACTGGTTAGAGAGAAACACATCAATAGACAGTAAAAAAAAAACTGTGCAAAAAGTCATAAACATCTGCACAGATAAAGGCATCACGACAAAAGCACACATTCAGCAGATTAAAAACAGCAAAAATATAATATAATATAATATAATATAATATAATATAATAGCAAACATGATAAAACTACTGTTCTTGTTCAGTAAATAGAAATTGTGCAACTAATTATTGTAAAAAAAAATTAGGCAATGGGTAAATAAAAAAAAATTATCAGTTAATTATCGGTTTATTTTTGGAACATTTTTTTCCCCGCCTAATTACTCCTTGCACTTCTATTGTCCAGATAAAGTCTTGTTAAGATGTATATTCAAAACTTATGCGCTCATTGGTAGAAAGGTTTATTTTATAATGCCTTCTATTTACTCTCCATTCTTAGTTTTGTTTGATTTGTTAATTATTTCTTCTTTTTGTTTAAATCGTGTGAATGGAGGAAGGCAAGCTAATATTGGCAAAAAGTATCAGGGATCAGTTAGACTGATTTCAAAATAATCTGTTTTGGCCTTAAAAAGCCTTATTTTCTGCTTATCAGCATCTTTAAAAGAGGAACAGGTAGATTTCAGAAAATTTGAGTATCGCAAAAACATTCTATATCTTTTGTAACTCATTTTAGAGAAGAATCTCATATGGAGTAAATGACATAGATCAGTTACATACTGTATAGTGGCAAATATTTCTAGTCTTTAGTTCTTGCAATTTTGATGATTATAACTTACAGAAATTAGAAGACCCGAATTTAGTATTTCAGAAAATTTGAACATTGTAAAGAACTCAGCCAAATCCTAATCACTAGATTAATTCTAAACACTTGCAACAGTTTCCTGAGCTTCTGGATGGTCTCAGTCTGTATCAACACAGTAAACATCATGGGGAAGACGGATGACTGGACAGATGTCAAGAAGACATCCTCAATGTGGAGAGTAAGACACAAAATGTCACTGATAAAGAATTTTTATATTCATAGAAGTTGAGTGGGGAAAAAAAGCTAATGGAGAAAAGGTACACAAGCAACAGGACGAACCACAACCATTAAAAATAAAATCAACGTGACAGACGAACCCCGGATGACAAATGAAAATGGAAAATGTTTTTAACAAATCTTTTGCAGATTTTTTCACTCAACATGTACTAAATCTATATTGCATATGAAATTCATTTTCTGAAATATTTGGCAAAATTTTTTTTTTAAAATATTCCTTTTTTAAAGATGATTCTGTAGAATGAAGACAACTGGCTGCTGTAGGAGAGAAGATGAAAACAGCAAAGCTTTATAAGCGACATTAAAGGAAGCAGCTTGCAGATGTTTGCATATTCAAATGAGAAGAGCAAGCGAACGGTAACTATTTAATAAAGCAAGCAGAATAAGACTAGTAACAAAAAAAATTAGCTAATGTCAATCATTTCAAGTATGAAAGATATTTCTTGCCATTTGTAAAAAGCGGGATAGTGACCAAATGAGAATTGAGACATGAGGGAAGTGAGCCACTCACCCGGACTTTGCTAATAGGGTGACGGAGGCGCTTGTTGGCGCTGAGCTCACTGAGCGTCACAGCGTAAAACTGGCCTTTGTTTAGGTAAGTCATGGGTCCCTCGCCTTGTTTCTGGCGTAGCGAGCGTGTGGCATCCAACGTATACTGAAAGCTGCCTCTGCATACAAAGACATATGTGATTAGACATTAAAAAAGGGTCTGATGCTAATCCATGCATGCCTTTATGGATCACTATCAGTCGGACAGGTTTAAAGCTTGGTCACTTTACTTATAAGCTCATCCGTTCTGCAATAGGAGACTGCAGGGACTTACACTCCCTCCTGGTGAAATAAGAAGTCATCTGTAGCGAGAGAGGAAGGTGAGTGGTACTTCTGTTTGAAAATACAGGCAAAAAACACAAAAGCACAGAGAAAGAGGAAATTAGTGGTGAAAAAAGTTAATTCAGCCTGAGAGGAACTCATCAAACAATGCAGCAAATGAACTAAACACTCAAACCCCTCAGTAGATGTTTTTGTACTAAAAACAGATAAATTCGTTAACTGTTAAAATCTGCATATACAGTTTACTCTGCAAAACATTAGCATTTCATTTTTAGGTATATTGGTCTGCATTGGATACATTTAGCTAATGCATTTCCTCTTCTGTGACGTTCATTATCTGTTTTGTTATCCGTGAGTTACCGGAAACCTGAACACTGTCTATTTATCCATAACAGATTCACATCTTTACATATATTATAGTTTGACATCCAAGTTTTGGGATTAAAATAAATTGCACCATCATCAGATTACACATTATTAATGCTAAAGCAGGATGATTGTGTTTTTTTCCCTGTGTTACTGTCCGTTATCAGGTGGTACAACGATGCAAAAAGTTCACAAGTTTTTTTGTTAGTTTTTACCTTTTCTACAGTTTGGAGCCGTTTTATTGCAGGGGAAAGTAGTGGAGCGGCTGGAGTGTTCTCCAGCTGTTTGGAACAGAGGGTAGCAAAGAGCTTCCCCTCCCCCACCTGTTTCTGGCCCTTACACAAGAGACAAATTCAGCTGTTTGAAGATGATTACAGCCACGGAAAAAAATTGTGGCTCCTATGATGCTAGGACTGCTTTAAAATTATATCTTCAACAAAGTATATATATCAACCTATTTTGAAAGATTCATAATACATTAGGAAAGGAAAATTTCACTGTTTTTTATGCTAATACAAATATCCAGTGAAACTGACATTTTTATTCTGGATTATTAAAACAAGAAAAATCTCAGTCTGCTGTATTCCTAGTATCTTCATTTTTTAAATCTCTACATTTCTTTTCTTTCTCACCCCGTCTGTCTCCTCCTCATAGGGGCTGTCAGGTGGACTCTGCTGGTCCTCCTTCACGTAGGGGCTGACGGTGGCCACCTCGTACTGACTCTGCTCGTAGACCACCCGCTCCTCTCCTTCCACCCTGTAGTGGAGCGGGGGTCCTGTCATGAAGACGGGGGCGTACACTTCAGCTTTGACTATGGCTACGGCCGGCGGCGGGGCTCCGTCCAGTGGGGTCTCCCCTGTTGAGTTGCACAGCTGCTCCCTTTTGGGCTCCTGGTGATCGGTGCTGAGTGAAAGATTCACCGGGACGGTTTTAAGGACCTGGACCCGGTTGTCCACTGACTCCACCTCGTTTTGGTTGGTAGAGTTGTTTGGCAGTACTGACCTAAAAATAAAAATAAAACATACCAAATTATAGTTTTAAAACGGTTATAAGTGACCTAAATCTTCTCTGTTGTATATACCAATTCACAATATTGTAAAAAGCCCTCTGATCATTATTTTCTTCTGGGACGAAACAACAATAAGCTTCTCACACCCATGAATAAAAAAATTTTGGATATATTTTTATCTTCTTCTGTTCTTTATTTAAATCCTTTGGTTACTGCTTCATATGGATTGCTTCATATGTGAGACACTAACAGCATCTCGGCCTGGAAGCTTCTCCCTTATCCTCCTGATGTAGGAACGATGTCTAAGACCAAACAGCACCATTGTCTGAGTGTTTTTTTTTTATGTATTTGCAAACTGTTAACTGGCTCTTTTATGTCGCCTTCAGGGTTAATGGCTTCTTCCAATCTGAGTGGCCTCCCAGCCCATGTCACCACAAAACTCATTCCATCTCTGAAGTCTATTGCTTATGTTCTTGGAGATCTACACACATTTTGCACCAAAATGTGTCCTAGAATATAGAACCTGTCTCATTCCATGTATGGGAAGATGGTAGGACATTCCTAAGAAGAAGTGTGTTGCTTTAAAATCCACCACTGTGACTCACTTTGACTAATCTCTGAGCTAAAGGGAACTTGACATTTTGAACCAAGCTTTTTAAAAAGCATAGCAATTTAAAAAGTAAAATAACCTCTGTTTAACTATACTTATTGGGATGAAAATTTTAGATTTTTACATGGCATGAAAACATCTGGTGTCACCTGTGAATATTGTATCTGTTGACAGTATAAGCATTCAATGTCATTTTTTATTTATTTCTGTTTGAGTTGCTTTAGATTAATCTCAAAACAAGTGGAGATGAAAAATCATCTTTCAGGGTTTAAAGTGAAATGAGACTCATTCATCTGAAACTTTTTCTCTCGTGCTATTATGTTTGACTCTAATCATTAAGATCTGGTTGTATTGGTTCTTAGATGAACAGATAGAGTTTTTATCACACTGTTGTAGCAGTTGTCCTGTTACCTATATAATAATAACTCCATGATTTGACAGAAAATAAAGCAAAAATGGTGAGATGTTGTCAAAGGTAAACTCACGAACCTCTTCTCTGGGTCTTCTGGAATTTCAGCAACTTTGGGAATTGCCAAAACTCTCTTTTCTTTGGGCACCTGAGAGGAGGCGAAAATGGAAGAATAGTCAACAAAACAGCAGATCATATTCCAGGAAGTTAAACTTAGCTGCCTGAATCAAATTGACACCAGAGCAATAACAGATTCTGCCATTCATTTTAGGGCAGCAACTAATAATTATTTTTGCAAATAATTTTTTTTCTATTAATAATCAGATAGCCAAAGGTTTCTTAAAGAAGATGTTTTGCAAAATTAAACCAGGGGAAACTAAAACTTTTCCACTTGAGGATATCTAGAATGATCATTTGACATACACAAAAAGATTTAAATCTAAACATAAATAAAAAATGTTTACCGTACATATTATTTTTTTTTGTATAATTACTGCTCAAAGTGGGTCACTCTGTCAGCCATAGGCAAGCTTTAGAGTCTCTATACTCCAGATAAAGCCATAACTAAATGAGTTGACAATTATTTCAATAATCGATTCCAAAAGGGCCAACGTCATGGCATTTTTAACTAATCCAAACTGTATTGTATTATAACTAGGATGGTAGGCCACTCAATTTATACCAGTCTAAACAACTGTATTGTATTTGTTTGGTGTGATTTGATAAACCTGTATGTGTTGTAAATTACCTTGGAATGGTGCTGTAAAAAAAAATAAAATCGAAACTAATTTAGTTAAAAGGTGATTAGGTTTATTAGAAACAACCCCCCAAAAAACACTTTGGTAAAGAATAAACTTTATTAGGGTAGTCTCCATTAACCCTTAAATTAACTAAATTTGCCAAATGGATACACTGCAATTTTGAAAAATTTTCAATAAATAGTTTTTACGTTTCGATGGGGGAGACTTTTTTGGTGATAACAAAATTCTTAGATTTTACAAAACTACAATAGAAACTATTTTTTAAAATCACACAATCCACGTGATCTGCAGCTGGACCTTACTGCCTTGTAAAAAGACAAAGAAGAAAACGAGAAGTAGATGAAGAATAATGGCGCGGCAAATTCAGATTTGTGATTTATTTCTGCAACTTTGAGCAGGATGAGCGCGATGAGCACTATAGCTGTGGGTGAAATGTGGAGATTTTTCAAGTGAGTGCTTAAATCTGCATTTGCCACGTTGTTCTCTGGAGTTATCACTTGAACAAGCATATTCATGTTAATTTCAACTGCGTTTCTCTTTAATGGAAATACCGTGAAAATGATTGTGAAAATGTGCATTTCAGAAATGCAACTAATGAACGTGTGTTGGTGAAGCATGGCAAAATATAAATCATACACGTTGTTCTGCAGGACATTTCTCTCTGCTAAAGAGAGCTGTTGCTCTACACTGTAGCAGCATTCTTGCTCCAGAATGTGAAAAAAATGTACAATAATTGACTTTCTGCAACTGCATTTATAATTCTTTATTAATTGGAATTAATCCGACTGTATTTAATTTCATTTGGAACAGACTGGACCCTGGAAAAGAACCAGACTATATTGCTGGAGAATACTGGAGAAAATTATCTATATTAATGTAGATGTGAAGTTCTTTGAGATGGTATTTGTTGGCAGACTCAAATAAATAAATAAATCCTGTATATGATATGCCTGAGGGGCAGCCACCATCCCCCACTGAGACCTGTACCTTGTAGTAGTCGTACAGCAGACCTAATGCGTTGGCACTGTCCTCGTCTCCATTGATGCTCATCATAGCCTTGGTGGCGGCCGTCAGCGGGTTCTCCAGGTATGACCTCCACGCCTCATCTTCACTGGTGTAGGCGCGCCTCACGGCGGGGAAAGAGCTCTCATTGGGAACAACCACCACCAAACGCTTACTGAAAGGTAAAATAAACAAAGCCTTTCAATTTATTGATTCACTGAAATCTATCTGCTGCTTTTAACTCCTTTGTAGTTCTTTTCAAAAGTCTTTATCTCAAATGATGTATTTCAAAAAGATTCAAAGATTAACCGATAATCTATAGCTGTCAGTTGGTGTGTGTGTGCGTATGTATATGTTTGTCTTGCAGCTCTTTAGTCCCACTTAAGTGCAGATCACAGACTAGTTAAACACACAAGGTGTTGCCACAACATATCTCTGGCCTCAGCCAATCAGAGGATAAAGTTCAGTGTGTGTCAACTTGAACTTGTACGATAAACAACACCCCCCCCCTTACACTTTCATTATTCTAATGCATATAGATGCAACACAAATAAAAAAGAATCAGTGGCTTAAAAATGTTCCAGAAACTGGAACTGGGAATTATCAACAAGAAACAATTGTTAAACAACTTTAATATAACTTTATTGTGTAAGAAATTATAAAGTACATTGAAGAATCACCCTTTCACACATTTTTTTTTCTAAAAATAGACCCAAAATCCATTTTTTTTAACTAGTATTAAAATGCATCTATTTTTCCTCCCAATGACATCATTTATGATTCCCACATAACAGTTAAACATTTAAACATATTTAGCTCTGCTGGATCATTGCTGCAACTATGAAACACTTTGTGTGCAAAACAGTGAGAGACACCTGCTATCACCACTGAAAACTTATAGTATGATGAAAATAAAAATGGTTTAAATGATTTATATTTCATGTATTAAAAAAAAGGACTTGTGTAATTTAAAAAAGAATGAATGCAAAAAACGTACAAAAAAAGAAATGTAAACAGATGAGGTCTCAAACCTGAACGATGTTTATAGTATTGTTATTACGATTATTGATACTAACATCATAAATAGGCGCACTTAAAGGTAAACAGTGAGTTATTTCTCTTTTAAATGAAATCTGAATTAGAGTTTACATGTTTTCAGTCCAAAATTAACAATTAAGTAACTTCATCATTAACAGTTTATGAATAAAAAACAAGAAAGTTCTTATTTAAAAAATATCTAATAAATATTCTAATAGAGATATTCTCGGAAGTTGAGGATGTTTTTAAATATTTGTTTTAAATATACAAATATTTATATATATATATATATATATATATATATAAATAAAAACTGTAAAAAATGGCGAATTCTCCTGTAATCAAATCCATGGGGCGCAAAAAAATTACAAAACCCCCGCTCCAAGACCTGAACACGTCAGAAAATAAATAAAATAAAAATCCACGGGTGATGTCTGAGTCGTGAGTGGGTGCTTTATGTCGCCCCACGGCCAACAAAGGCAGATCTAGAAAACAAGTGTCTCCCTCCGTCCAGGACCATCTAAGCTCCTCTCCTCCGACTCGATCACTTACTTGTCTGTCTCCTGTGACATATTTTTGCTTCCTCTACGGTTCTTCCTTGTGAAACTGGACTTTCAAGTTGGAGCAGGTAGCAGAGTGAGTTTGCCAGAAGTTGGGCTACAGGTAAGTCGACTTTTCTCGCCCCGCGCGCGTCTTTCCTCCCTGCCCCTCTCCTCTCCTGTCCGGGACGGTCTCTCCCCTCCCCGCTCCTGTCCTCTATCTACCTGGCAGGTGAAAAGCCCTTCCCACCTCAACTCCAACAGCTTTGTTTTGTCTCTTCTTCACTTTGTGTAGAGTGCAGGGCAAACATCGACAAACATCCTGCTGCCATGCGCTCTAATATTTGCCTTTTAATGTCCGCTTTAGGTGAAATTCTTTCACAGAGAGAAGAATCGAAGGCGATGGTTAGACTCGTCTCCTGATTGGCTGATGTTGAGCGGAGCGGCGCTCTGTTTGGTGGGCGGGCAAGGTAGAGGGTTTACCTTAACCTGTAAGGAGAAATAAAGAGGATTTCGGTTCTTTTTGCGTCCTTTAAACTTTTTTTTAAATCGTTTTTATCACATAGCTTAACAGGCGGCTTCAAATTCTTACTTGTAAATAAACTCCTTGTGTACCCATAAGTAAACAGGCACATTTCACCTAATAGCAGTTCTCATGGGCGGTTCTAGACAGGAGCCAACAGGGGCAGTGTAATTGTAGTGGAGGCATAGTTGAATAGGTAATTAAAAAATATATTAATGGGGATGTCAGTTTTGTTACAGATTTTTTTTTCTGCAATATTTCATGCAATTGAATGTCTTTTTAAAATTTCCAACCATTTAAATCAATGGGTGGCACCAAGAAACGGTTGAGAACCACTGGATTAATGCATAAGTCATAGTGTCAGTGTTGTAGCTGCAGGTTGCAGACCCATGGTTCTGTCACAGCACAGGAGAACCCAAAAGTGCATGGCCTCGATATTTAAATCACTGTTGTAATGAAATTCTAAAGATAAGAAATAAAAGTGGTCCAATCAGTTATGATTTCTATTCCAGTACATACTGTCGTATGAAATTGATTTATTGTTTCATCTTCGGCCTTCACAGGGAGGCCATGATTGGGGCAGAAAAGAAAATTGATAACATAGAAAATTACAATACACGATATAATGAGCATTGATTGTTTCTATTTATTTGAGAAAAACGTCCCCATTAGGAAGTTTTGTACCATTTCATACCCCTAGGTGCAAAGTAACTAACCTGGCTACTTACGTTTACTCTTTTACATTTGCTTAAATAAAGTCTTAAACAAAAT